TCATACTACTTTATTTATTCAAGAGAAATGATTTAATTATCTCTAATATAATTAAATGAAATTTGCAAATCTTATTATTCTATTCTAAAATTTATTTTACATATGAAATTATTAGCACAATAAACAATACTGAGTTAATCTAATACAGTATATAGTTTAGTATATTTATGATATTTATAAGCTTTTTTATATTTTCAGTAATGAATTCCTTTAAGATATTTTTACAAATCCTATATTTATATAACATTTTTTGCTCTATAATTATCTGAATCTTTCTGTTTAATAAGAATATAAACAAAATAGTGTTATTAAAATTTGTATTTCTATGAATTATATGACTTATGGATATACAGTATTATTCTTTATTTAATTAAATGGAAAGTCCTTTGAGTAAAGGAAATGTAAAGGTTTTAACAAGTTTTCAAAATCTCTAACGAAGACATTATTAGTTAAGCAAACAACTCATTAACGAATTCTAATTTCATATAAAAATGTAAACATAATTATGAGTACAATTCATTGGGAATAAATTTCATACAGCAAATTGTTTTCATTCAAAACGGAATCTTAGTATTCAAATCAACTAATTATGATATGTTATGATAAGCCCCTAAAATCGGAGCATACATTGCATTCGCAATAGTATTCTCTGATAAGTCGACTAAATTTGTAGATTTGCGTCATTTTTAACAATTTGTTGCCATTTGTGCCGTCAATCCTATGGGCGGGGAGATTGGAGTTTATTATAAAAACTAATTACAGATTATGAACTCATCTATTATAGTGTATGCTCTTGGATACGATATAACAAAGTCACGAAATATCTACCTTAAGTTTAATATAAATTCTTTTTAATTATTGTTATAATTTGTAAAATTCAACATTCAGTTCATTCATATTTATATTTAATAATCTAAAACATCCGATATTTGGTAAGTTTCTATAATTATTCTGTGAGGAAATTTTTGTTTTAATAATATTTATAATGATAAAGGAAATTCTTAATTGTTTGGAAAAGTTTTTAAATTTTCATAAACAGCATTGGTTTTGCTTATAATAGTATTAAAGTGAAATGATAATTGAAATTTGGTAAAATATTAGAAAATTATGTACTTTTAAATAAAAGATAAATATTTTGCCAGTTTTAAAAAGGAAAAGTTCTTAGATAAGTTATAAACACGTTTGTCCTAGTTTGATTTCTATTGATTTGAGCTGTAATAAAATGCATTAATTAAGTCATATTGACAAGTGATTGAAGGATACAACAAGTTAATCAAATTTCCTTTCGAGTACTGTTTAGTTTTCATTCATGTTTTCTTATCAATAATTAGTAGTAATGAATGACTGTCGTCAATCCTATGGGCGGAGAGATCGGAGTTTATTATAAAAACTAATTACAGATTATGAACTCATCTATTATAGTGTATGCTCTTGGATACGATATAACAAAGTCACCAAATATCTACCTTAAGTTTGATATAAATTCTTTTTAATTATTGTTATAATTTGTAAAATTCAACATTCAGTTCATTCATATTTATATTTAATAATCTAAAACATCCGATATTTGGTAAGTTTCTGTAATTATTCTGTGAGGAAATTTTTGTTTTAGTAATATTTATAATGATAAAGGAAATTCTTAATTGTTTGGAAAAGTTTTTAAATTTTCATAAACAACATTGGTTTTGTTTATAATAGTATTATAGTGAAATGATAATTGAAATTTGGTAAAATATTATAAAATTATGTACTTTTAAATAAAAGATAAATATTTTCTATAAGTTATAAACTTAGATAAGTTATAAACACGTTTGCCCTAGTTTGATTTCTATTGATTTGAGTTGTAATCTTTACGTAATTAATTCAGTATAACTGTTCACTAACTTCCTATGTTGTTCAATTAGTTTAAAGGAAAGCTCATGACAAATCAAAAGTAAGTACAAAAGAATAGTTATTAATCATCATTACTTACTGACAACGAATATAATAGAGAGTGAATGTCATGTAATTCATATGACTTTCTTTCACAGCAAAAGAGTTTCTATACAATAATGATCTCAGAAATGAAGATTCAGACGATTACGATATCCATTACTTTTGTGACAATATTATGTTTGGCTTCAATCATATCCGCAAAATCAGTGAAAGTCTCGGATTCAAGAGACCATCAAATGAGTGGAAACCCATTGCATCGCATCCAAAGATCAGTCGATGACTACGAGGACACTCTAACGCCCGACTTATATCGACCTCTCCTTAAGGAACATTTGCTTAAAGCTGCTAAAAGGGCCGGTATGTCACACCTATAGTTCATTTCTTTTAAAATTATAACTTTTACAATTAGATTTATTTTTTATTTGCCTCATTTTGAGTAACAATTAAATTTATTATTATAAACCTATAATATTCAACAAAATAACTTTTGTTTAAATTAATCAATTTCATCAATGGGTAGACTGTTATCATTAAGTGTAGGAGTGTATGTAATACCTACTATATTATGAGTATTTACAGGTATCTATTATGTCATACTCCTATTTATGATAAGGTCATACTCCTATTTGCATTGTATAAGAAACTTTATTTTTACCACAATATTGAAATTAGGGTTCAATGAGTTAATCCATTAAATCATATTTTTATCTAAAGTGTAACAAAAGATTAATTCAATTGATATTTCTATTTATGTCAAACTTCCTCTTTATACATTGAGAGAGTACTTAAGATTATAAAATACTATTTGTACTTTATAAACATAGTGTGATTGCAATTCATTCATAAAGTTAAATAAGTGTAATGATTTATGATTTATTCTAAACTGATTTGTATTTTTGAAAATTTTATTAGTTTATATTTTATGTCAATGCTTATATCTACACAAATTATAAATTATATTATAATATCTACTAACTATAAAAAATACAATAGGTAAAACTGATTTAGCAATATTTTGATACAGTAGTAAGAATTTTGACTATATCAATAATTTATATGATAGCATGCTTTAGGAATACTTTAATATTTGTATTGTATATCCTATATATTCTGTGCTGTAATCTATTCTGTACTGTTCTATTCTGTAGCGACAATTTATAATAAGAAATTCAGTGTTATATACGGTACTAATTTTAATTATATTTAATAAATATATTTAGTAAATTATAAAATAAAATATTTATAAAAATCCAATTTTAAACATAAATGTCGACGTTACCCACAGCTAAACGGCCTAATATAAGACGTGATATTCCCGTCGTTAACCGGATTAAATCCGAGTAAAGCCCTTTTCTACGTCTTTTCACCTTTTATCAATAAATTACACTCATTTCATTATCGGTTATTATTACTATTTAAAATAAACTCTATGTCCGTTAATTTATAAAAATCATTTATAGTTTCTTCATTAAAAAGTAATAAAAATTTAAATATTAAAATTTGTTTACTAAATACAAGTTATTAAAAATGTAATTATTATTATTATAAAATGAAAGAAATGTATGTTTAGTTATAATTTGATTGTTTAAACTCTTTTGAACAACTATTGTATTTATTAAAAACATTTTTATTTATAAATATATTTATTTGCAAACTTTATTAAATTTAAAAATCATTTGTCTTATTGTATATAAATGCTGAACAAGGAATGAATTAAAATTAAAACAAATTTATAGAATATTATAACAAACAGTCTCATTATTATAATTAGACAAATCTGATAAAATAACTTTTCCATGAAGCAAACAAAAAAGTCAAAATTAATAAACATTTTATGGTATGATATTCTGTTATTTAGAGTACTGTATACTATAAAGTAAGTACAGTATAGAACAAAAACACTTTATAAAGAGGTCTAAAAATGTGATAAACTGTCGTGGGTTTACGGGTTAAATGGATTTATCCATTGATAAACATTCAAATGTTATAGTATACTGTCATAATATCTGTATTGATAGGACAGTTACTTAATTCAACACCTGTTTCATAGCAAACACAGTATCATTGTTATTGAGTTCTTAATCCTCGTTGATATTAATAAGCATTGATAGAAATAGTGATATCAATCAAATATAATTAAGTTTATTGAAAGAGAAATTATTCATTTCTACTGACATTTGATCCAGATCTGCTTTAAACTCTTACTATATTTGATAATAGTCTCGCAATAAATCAATACTTGAATACAGTATATAATTGAAACAGTAATTAATTTAAATAAACAGTCAGTAATAAGCAGCAGTAATAATAATTTAATCTGTTATCATTTATTCATTTATGATACTGAATAATGATTAAATTACAAATAAATAAATATTTAATTAGATTAATTGATAAAGATTTCCACTTTAGTTATGTATTCTCCTTTAAAACATAACACAGATGTAAATGAAATGCTTTATGAAATGATGTTACATTTTTTACATTTGGTTTAGAATATAATTCTGTATGTATTATTTAATAAGAATAGGAGTAAACAACTTATTAAAATGACTAAAAATCCAATATTAAATTCTTGGATATAAACGTATATTAGTAAACAACCAGGAAGAAATTAGTGATCTACAGCCTAATTTAGAATTTATTTTCTCATCAATCTCACACTTTACTTAAAATTAATATTAATTAATATTAATATTAATTAATTACTAATTACTAATTAATATTAATTATCAACCACAGAATTGAATCTAATTGCAACAATTTCTCACAAGCTAAATTCCGGAATACTGTTTCAAGAATGTCTTTACCTTGGCTTTTAAATAGCAGTCAATTTAAAATTATTCATATAAACTAAAGAATATAAGAATGTTTGAATACATGTATTGTTAAATCAAATTGTTCAATTAGTTATTTGTTTATAAATGTATTATTTTATTACATAATTATCAAATTTTAAATACAGTATAAATTTGCTATAATTACCATACTAAACAGTAATTAAATCTATTTACAGTATAAAACTNTACTAAACAGTAATTAAATCTATTTACAGTATAAAACTCTTATAAAACACTTTCTAAGAACTGAATGCATTCTAATTGAGTCATTAAATAGTTATTTTTCGTTTGATTGTCAATCACTTCAAATTTGGGCATTTCATCAGTGATTCGTTTGCCGCCAATTATCGTATAGGGAATGCCTAACGTTTCCAAACCGGCCAGTCGTCTACCAATTGTCTGATTAATTCTGTCGTCGACCAGAATATCTTCATTCAACACATTTGACAAACAATTGGCAAAATCCTGTGTAAATGCGGTTCCATTGGAAACGTCTTCTTTGCTGCCTTTCTGCAAATGATTGCACTTTAAATACCATTCAGTTTTCAGTGAATATAGAAATGAAATACTTTTGGCAAAACTAAGCACACTTTGAAAGGCGCCAAAGCATAGGGCCATCGAATTGAGTGATTTTCAGACAACACTTCCACAGAAGCGGCTAATATCCGACTCACACCCAACCCATAGCATCCCATCGAGTATATGCTGTCAATGTATTAAATGTTAAATTCAAACATAAATCAAAACCAAATGAAATTACTTTTTGGCTTTCGTTTCATTCGCTGTATATTTTGCGTCAAATTTTTCAGAATATCTGTTCCCAAGAAGGAAAGTATGTCCCACTTCTATGGCATTGAATTTGGTTAAGTCATGACTACTGCAGAACATACACTCCACCTCTTGTCGAGTGGCTATCAGTTCTGCATTGAATGCTTTGTCACATGAGTTGCATTTGAAGACCTCGTCTTCCCCTAAATCAGACCCCAACACAAACTCTTCAGAATATTTGCCGCCAATGGTTCCAACAGAACCGCAAGCTTTCAAACAAATATTCAAGTGAATACAACTTATCATTTCAGTCATTTAAAGTATACCTTTAATTACAGGCAAATCAAGTCGTTTAAAAATGTTTTCATAGGCTTTGCAAACCTTTTCATATGTCTTATTGGCCTCACTTTCATTTGAATCAAATGTATATAAATCTAAATCAAATTCAAATGATCGTTACATTTAAGAATAAATTTGAGTCCAAATATAATACCTTTCATTACAAACTCGCGTCCTCTCAATAATCCGTGTTTTGCCTTCAATTCATCCCTAAATTTAGAGCTGATTTGATACAAATAAATGGGTAAATGGTTTTCAGTCAAGTGTTTAGCCGCTGATATTAAATGAGTGACAACTTCTTCGTGAGTCTTAATAAAGGATTAAAAAACAAATATACAGTAATATGAATACAAAACTGCTTAAAACCAAGTAATGCTTACGGGAGCTAAACATAAGTCAGTATTTTGTCTGTCTTTTAGCCTAAAGAGCTCTTCTCTCGATTCACTCCAACGACCTATTCTTAGAGATAATCACTTCAATACTTCAGTCAATTATAATCGCATCTCAATTAAGACCTGATTTATCCCAAAGTCGTTTAGACACGAGTGATGGCATCGATATCTTCTGTGCCTTTATGGCTAACATCTCGTCATTGATTATATCAACCAATTTGTCCATCGCTTTCACCACTAATGGCATCAAAATATATAAACCCTTTTCGGTCATTGATATTAAGTTCTTGTTGTTAAAGAGCTGCCAATTGTTCAAAAAGACAATTCATTAATGAGATGTCAACCAAATATGAGTTCATTTCAAATACAGATTGACTCTTATGTGTGGTCTCTAATTGGGAACCAATGGTTTCATTGATATTAGTCATGACAAGCATCTGATTCCAGCTGAAGATACGGTGAGATGTGGTGGTCGAGTGGATCCATCTGCCAAAGCGGACATCGCGCCCATTGGTGGCACTCTTGAGCAATGTCTTCATGTGGTGAGCCATGGCTTGAATCACATGTAAATATTAGTGTCGAGGTATGTATGGATAGGTTTACGACAACTGTCAACAAACACATGCACTCAACAGCTGTTCACACGAGACAGACATACAGTGCATACATAGACAACACACAGATATTACAGTTACAGTAATCACAATAATTATCACATTTTGCTTTCGCATTCATTTGTGATTACATTTTAATATCATTTGCGGCAACAAATAGCTATCATTGAAGTGAGTGCTGGTTCTTGGAGTGGCAGATGTGCTACAATAAGACAACATCCAAGTTGTGTAACAAATATTTATGTTATAATTGTGTTGAATAAGCAAATAATGCAGTGTTTGTGCTCTCATTGATTTGTTTTGCATTCATATCATTTCAAAACTTAGCCATACGTTTGTTGACCACACAAATTGGCATTGCGTAAGTGACCATGATACTATGATACTACAGTATGATACTATGATAAACTCATTGATAAGTTGTGAAAAGTTTGTTCAACTGAACGGATAGTGTGTTAGCGTTGGTACAGATGTCAGTGCACTGGTGTATGAGTGGTGGGAAGGGATGTCTAGTGATGTAGTGACGGCATACACGGCATACCAGTGCCACTACCAGTGCAGTGCATACGATGCCATCACTGACAGAGTGTATGAGAGTCTGATGTGAAAGCAATTGAGTGAACACTTAATGGCGTAAACCTGAAGGCACTGACATTAGATTGGATCACATCTGAAGGTAAATATTAAGACATATTTATGCCTTATTTGCGGTCATTGTGTGCCTCTTATTGCCATCAATTGCTCGCATATGCCGTGCAATGAGTGTCCGATCAGTCAATACTGTAATCAATAGCATTGTTATGCAATCCATTTGTTTACTAACAGTAATGTCATGTAATTGAGTGAACAGTGACTGACCGCCCACTCCTACCACTACTATACCAACCCATCCATTGCCACAATATATGACCACAAATTCAGTGAACTGTGGATCAGTTGATGGCTATAATGAGTGAATGGTATGATAGGTATGATAGGTATGCTTGTGATGGCTAATTGGTGTGCATTTAGTGGTCACACATGCTATGCATATATCGTGGTGTATGTGATGACTGATAGCAATACGTGTGCATCACTTGAACTTTATTTACACATATTTGCCACAAACTGATGACAACTATTACTTGTATTACTTCTTCCCAGTGTTTGTGTGCTATAAATGCCATGAAAATCATATTCAATTCAATTCATTAGATTTATTATGTGTTTTTTCGTTGATGTTTGGGAATTAGTTGCCATTTGTTTCCCACAATGTATTTCAATGCATGTATTATTACTTTGTAATCATTTGCTATAATAATTATATTAGCGATGCATTCATACGAGTCCAATGTGTAATCAATTGGTATTTTATTGTTAAGATTTTTCACATTTGATATTAAGGGTGAACTGAGTTTTAATACACATTTAGTGATAATAAGTAACTGAGAGATAAGCCAATAGTAAGTTCACCGCATATTTGAGTCGTTATTTGGCATCAATTGAATGAATGCATAGAGATTTGCCGATTAAATAGTTGTGCATTCAGTTGACAATCAATTGGTGTGTGTTTTAGAGAAGTTAACCAAATATTTAATTGATTTGACTATTTGTCTGATGATAGTCACAGAGCCATAGTCTCAAGGATTTGTTAAGCTTTGAAAAATGTATACAAAAATATTTTTGAGGAAAAAACTACAACTAAATGTTATTTACAGTAATAGTAATATTGAAATAGTTGTGAAGCCGTAACACGACTAACAGGTTAACCAACACTTGAATCCCATTATGAGATCCAAATGACATTTCTGTGAGTTGTGACAAAACCTCTCTTATCTGTAAATTGTATTTAAAGAGCGTTTAATTATTTTAGTCGAAAGTCTTGAGAATTTTTATAATTGTCTTTCGTTTACAACACTATTATTCTCGTAATCTATTGATAAAGTCATGCATTCATTAAATTGAAGTCTACTTTTCAATGACTTTATAACATATCAAAAGCACCCGTATTTCCATTTATCTAGAATTGCCTTTTAAATATTTAATACAAACTTTGAATTAAAGGTTTTTCTCAATACTGGTACACAACTGAAAAGCTATAATATTTTTTAATACAACATTAATATTGCCTTTTAAACAGACAGTACTCACGACATGAATGCAATATTTGTGTCTATTATTCAATATTTGTCTTCTTTCAGGAATTGTTTGAAACTATTTTTAGTTTATATCGATTGCAAACCTTTTTTGCCTTTAAGATTAGCACTACATTGAAAGCACAATACTTGTAGTGATTATTATGCAGTTTTATTCAAAGTAATGTTTGGCGTTAATTATAATTTTACGTTATCCACGCTATGACTTACTAAATGGTGTAAACATTACATAATGATGTGTTTAGCAATATTTTGCATTGTATTGTTTGAATTGTAATCGAGTATTACTTCAATTTGGAGCAAACTTTGTACAACTATTGACTCAAATGTAACACAAAAAAGCAATGAGAAAGTGGCGAATGTGTGCCTCTCTTACTGTTATAATGTTATGTCTTATAAGACAATCGTTTAGTCAAATGAATGTACACTTAATGTACGAAATAAGCGTCGATTCGCTCTTTTATTTGATTTGCTTTTTTAATGTCATGTCTTTGTATTGAAGATTTGTTTTGCATTCATCGAAAACACCGCACCCTATGATTACCCTATGATTTACTTTAACTCTCCATTTAATTAAGTTTTCTCTCTTCCGTTCATTGATTTTCGCACTCTTTATGCTCCTATTGTGGTCGCTCTGTAGGCCAACCCTTTCAGCTCTTGTAGCCATTAAATAGATATAATATTATTATATAATTTTTGGCGACTTATAACCGCAAATAGTAATTTCAATTAGGGTTATAACTAATTTGTAGTCAACACTTAATCTCCCACTCAATTGATGCCACATTTCTCTCACATTCATTTGCATTTGATTTTGAAATTGGGTTTACTTTTTTGGTCAATCAGTAGACTTACTATTTCTTCATAGTTATTGCCCTTTTCTGTCATCAATTCAATTTTCGTATATGTTTTTAAAGTTTGCTAATTTAATAAATATTTGATTTATAAATTTGTGCTCAATTTAAAACTAAAATTCATTTTTCATAATAAAAAGAGCATTCATTTTAGTTATCATTAGATTTTTTATGTTTACAACTTTAATTTAATATATTTTGCTCTAATATTGAGTACAATTAGAAATATACTGTATGTTCAAGTCTCTCTCTCTCTCTCTCTCTCTCTCTCTCTCTCTCTCCAAATGACAAAATCCTTTTTTGAATCATTCACCAAAAGGAAGTACATTTAAAGGGAAATTATGTTAAATTTCTACAAAACATTGAATTTATACTTAAACCAATCGATAAATTTGAAAAATTAATATATTTCTAATTTAATTAAAATGTTTTATTGATCCGACTTTTACTGAATTGCAAAATGTTAAATATTTTGCCAGAAAGCGAGGGCTCAATGAAGGTAGGGATCAGAATCATGTAGTTGTTGTTTAAGGGGAGGGGAGGTCTTGAATTTTGTCATTTTCTGCACAAGTTTGCCAACAATTACTTACGAGTTAACTGTTTTTGAAATGTTAATCAATTATACCCTCGAAGTCATAACAATGGGTTGTGTTTTAAACTTTTGTTTTATACTTTAATTGTTGACTTGAGTCCAGCTTTGATCTCATTTTGAATCTCCGTTTTAAATTACATTATTGTTATTGATTTCAGTTAGTTATCGGTTATTATTTAATATTTTGAAGATTTCTATAGAAAAAAAATCAATTCATTTAGAAACGTATTCAATACAAAGCCATAGAAATATAGTAAATAGGAAAATACGGTATGTTTTGTAATGTTATGTTACTTTTATGACTTTCGTGGTGTGTATTCATTGAAGTGTTAGGCAATCGATTTGTTGCTAAATATGAAGTCTTATTAATAATTAATTTATTGAATATTAAGCGATAAAATCATTGAAACGTTGTTATAGTTTATACGTTACACAAATTATTTACATTTATAATTAGATTTAAATTTTAAAATGTTTCATATTTTGAGGAAAATTTTTGCTTAATTTTAATTTGATTAATGAATAAATGGTTGAAAAACATAAGACTTATGATGTGTTTGATGTTCAGAATAGACGCCGAGATTTGATGTAAAGGGATGTCACACCACAGCGACGACGCGATGCTGATCGCCGGCTCCGACAGCTTCTGGGAGCCGGGAAACTACAAGAAGACCACTAAACGCACGGATGACGGCAACAAACTATTCAATGATTTGACTCTTTTGATCAAAGAGAGGGCAGATATTGAGCAGAATTATGCGAAAAGTCTGCGGACGTGGTCTAAGAAGTGGAACGAACTGATCGAAAAGGGCCCGGAATATGGCACCACCGAAGCCGCGTGGAAGGCCGTGCTGTCTGAGGCCGAGCGCCGGTGCGATCTGCACATGAAGGTGAAGGACAACCTCTCGCAGACGATTATCTCGCAGATAAAACAGTGGCAAAAAGACAACTTCCATACGTCTATGTTTGCGCTGAAGGAGAAGAAAGAGTTTGACGACGCCTTCAAAAAAGTATTTATGAAGCAATTGATTGCATATATTATTGCGGTTTTGTTGTTACGACTCAACATTTGGGTCAAAACGTGTGTCCATTGTTTGCGTATTAAATCGATTGTATTATGTATTTAAAGGCACAGAAACCGTGGGCTAAAATCCTATCGAAAGTAAACAAATGCAAAATCGATTACCACAACGCCTGCAAAAACGAAAGGACTGCCATTAATCAGGAGCGAAACGCTTCTGGAGATACATCCCTATCCCCCGATCAGGTCTCATAACATTTACTCTCAATTAGGACTTAAAATGTTTTTTAATTGATTTGTGTTTGACTTGCATTTTAGGTGAAGAAACTTCAGGACAGAGTAACCAAATCTAAAGAAGACGTCATAAAGACTAAAGAGAAATACGAGGCGTCGCTCAGAGAAATCAATGACTATAACGCCAAATACATGGAAGACATGACTGTCGTCTTCGAGAAATGCCAGGAGTTTGAAGAAAAGCGACTAAATTTTGTTAAAGACATGTTGTTTGCAATTCACGGCTGCCTTAATATTTCAAAAGCTCCAGAATTACCTCAAATCTACGAAGAATACAGACATACCATTCAGAACGCCGATGCAAACAAAGACCTCAAGTGGTGGTCCAACAACTTTGGGGTCGGAATGGCTATGAATTGGCCTCAATTTGAGGTAATCTCTCGTTATGTTTAATGAATTGATTTTTTTCTATTTGTGGCAAATATTGACTTTGAATTTACAGCATTTTTGACATGTTTTGCATGTTTTTATTTTTGTTCACCATTTTTGTCTTGTTTTGCTTCATTTGTAATCAATTCGTCAAAATAGGAGTATTGCGAGGAATTTCGGGATATAATCGGAAAGACTAAGAAAAGCCCCGCTGTTCCCGAAAATGGTATACAACTTGTAAACCAACAAAAATTCAACGAAGAATTGCCTGTAATTTCATTATTCAAACCATTTTCTCAAAGGGTTTCACGGCTTTTGTCTCACTCTTTCTGATGAACTATCTCTGTATTAACACACGAATTAATTTTCAGTATTTCAACCGCTTTTTATTGCATGATATGACTAACAAATGAAAATGTTTCCATCAACTCATACATTGCTAAGTTTGCGAACTATATATTAAGACTGATTTGCACCCGTGTTTGACACCCGACACTTTTATTTGCATATTTATTTTGTTATGTTTTCAAAACTATCCAATTCTTCTCATTTTGTTTTCACATATTTTATAACTTGAAGGCAAGTCGTGGCTAAATATTTAATTTGTATACAATTTTAAGCAAACATGGTTTTGCTTTGCAATTCATGCATAATTGCAATTTCATTGACATTTTTACATGATTTTAACGATCCGGTTATATCCAGCAAATAACGCATTCAAAATATTTTTCATACAATTTGAATTGAATTTAAATTTTACTTGATAACTCGATAATGTGGTCAGATTTCTTATGCAATACAATTAGATATTTTATTATTATTCCGTTATTTAATATTTAATATCGACTATTGTTTAATATCTAAAATATTCATTATGATATTTAAAATGGCAAAATCATTCATTTTATTCAATTCATAAATGTTTGTATATTTTATTAGGTATAAGTTAATTATGAGAGTTCTGATATTCTTGCAGTATATACCGGTATTAAAGTACAATTCATAGCCTATAATATCGTAATTAATTAAATATATTACCATATTTGAAGTTCTTTTTGATGTCTTTCTTATAGTAAGCAAACTATAAATCCAATGACTTTATATCCTTTTTCATCTTTTGTGGTGTATTTGGCCTTTTGAATGAAATCTTATAAATTTAATGCCATTAAATATAATCTTATTCGTTATCTTTAAAACCTATTGAATTCTTATAGGAATATACGCCAGAACTGCAGCACATCTCAAAGAAGGAGAAAAAGTTATTGTCTGAAGGTTTGAACACAAATGATATCACACTATTGGAGCACAGAATGGATGTTCACAAGAATTCTGTGAATAACGGACACAAAATGGACAAACAAATAAGTCGTGGCTAAATATTTAATTTGTATACAATTTTAAGCAAACATGGTTTTGCTTTGCAATTCATGCATAATTGCAATTTCATTGACATTTTTACATGATTTTAACGATCCGGTTATATCCAGCAACTAACGCATTCAAAATATTTTTCATACTTTGAATTGAATTTAAATTTTATTTGATTACTCGATAATGTGGTCAGATTTCTTATGCAATACAATTAGATATTTTATTATTATTCCGTTATTTAATATTTAATATCGACTATTGTTTAATATCTAAAATATTCATTATGATATTTAAAATTGCAAATCATTCATTTTATTCAATTCATAAACGTTTGTATATTTTATTAGGTATAAGTTAATTATGAGAGTTTTGATATTCTTACAGTATATACCGGTATTAAAGTACAACTCATAACCTATAATACCGTAATTAATTATATTATATTAGCGTATTTGAAGTTCTTTTTGATGTCTTTCTTATAGTAAGCAAACTATAAATCCAATGACTTTATATCCTTTTCATCTTTTGTGGTGTATTTGGCCTTTTGAATGAAATCTTATAAATTAAATGCCATTAAATATAATCTTATTTGTTGTCTTTAAAACCAATTGAATTCTTATAGGAATATACACCAGAACTGCAACACATCTCAAAGAAGGAGAAAAAGTTATTGTCTGAAGGTTTGAACACAAATGATATCACACTATTGGAGCACAGAATGGATGTTCACAAGAATTCTGTGAATAACGGACACAAAATGGACAAACAAAACGATATTAAGAGAACGTATGTCCCGAACCTCTAATTCATTTATCAGTTGTTTTCATTGAAAATATTTCAATAGCAATGGAAAACAAGAAGTGAATCCCTTTGATGACGAGGAGCAATGGGATGACGACTATGGACATGACCCACTCGTTGATAGCGGCGAACCCGGTGTTCCCGTTCGAGCCCTGTATGACTACAACGGTGCTGAAGCTGACGAACTGACTTTCAAACAGGGTTTGTCTCAATCATGTGGACACTGTTGTCAATATTATGACTAATTTGTGACATCCGTTATTCAGGCGATGTATTCGAGAAATTGGAGGACGAGGACGAACAGGGCTGGTATGTAGTGAGCGGCTAATGGTTGAAAACAGTTTTATTCATATGATATGTAATTAATTGAAATACAGGTGTAAAGGAAGAAAGGACGGTCGCGTAGGTCTATATCCGGCTAATTATATTGAAGTCCTTCACCATCAATGAGTCCATCATTACTTAAATTATTAAAATTTTGAACATTTTCTAAACTTTTGTTATAAAAACATATGTTTGCATATTGTATAACATTTTATGATACTAACTGATGTTTTGTCACAAATCAGTTATTGTTTTATACAAAACATTCGGCCAATAGTTTTGCCCATTTTTAAAGACTATCTAACACTTCATTGTATCAAAACATTCATTTGTTATACAAATCACAGAATAATATATACTTTATATCTATGTTTTCACTGAAAGGCGGCTTTTGGTTGTGGACTCGAATATTCGGTCATTTGATTATTCAGTAATTTTACCAGTTTTTAAGAATCGGTTTTACTATTAATGTTTAATTATTATTATTATTATTATTGATATTTATTGGCTTTCAATTCGTGTATATAGTTATTGAGATTTCTATTCATATGGAAAGTGTTTGATTTGTAAGTGAAATACAAATTAGTTGTCAAAGTTTTCATGCATTAAATTTGCATTTCCATGTAATCTAGTATTTGATTATTGAATAAAATTATTTTTCAATACAATTTTAGTTTTATGTTATTTCAACAGTATTACGGTACATTCTTTTCAGTAACTTACTACAGCAATACTAAATTTGCATTTCCATGTAATCTAGTATTTGATTATTGAATAAAATTATTTTTCAATACAATTTTAGTTTTATGTTATTTCAACAGTATTACGGTACATTCTTTTCAGTAACTTACTACAGCAATACAGATAATACAAATCATTTGTACTAGATAGTTAAATATGATTTATAATTTAATTTGAATCAAAGGTAAGATTAAATATTGGTAATAAATAAAATAAGTTCCTTGATATTTTTACAATTAAGAGTTGTTTTGAGAGAGAGAGAGAGAGAGAGAGAGAGAGTTCTGAATTTATTTTATTATTTCAATTTATTTATGTAAAATATTATATCAGTAGTTTAAAAATCATATAATTTAATAGTGGTTAGAATATGTTTATGATATAATTATTAAAAGTGATGCTAATTTATTAAATTTGCATTTCCATGTAATCTAGTATTTGATTATTGAATAAAATTATTTTTCAATACAATTTTAGTTTTATGTTATTTCAACAGTATTACGGTACATTCTTTTCAGTAACTTACTACAGCAATACTGATAATACAAATATAGTTTGTACTAGGTAGTTAAATATGATTTATAATTTAATTTGAATCAAAGGTAAGATTAATTATTGGTAATAAATAAAATAAGTTCCTTGATATTTTTACAATTAAGAGTTGTTTTGAGAGAGAGAGAGAGAGAGAGAGAGAGAGAGAGAGAGATGCCTTATTTTCTTACAGCGCAAAGAAGTTATGCCAAATCTATTAAACTTCCTATTTATTTTATTAATTCTGAATTTATTTTATTATTTCAATTTATTTATGTAAAATATTATATCAGTAGTTTAAAAATCATATAATTTAATAGTGGTTAGAATATGTTTATGATATAATTATTAAAAGTGATGCTAATTTATTGAGTAAATTAAACCATTTTTGCTGTTATACAGTGCTTAATAAAAAGCTATAAAATAACTCATACGGATATAATAATTTACAACTATTAGTCTATAATTAGAAGATCGTATAGATTAGTGAAGTATCATTAAAACAGTTTATAAATAACGAACATCAAATAACGTTATTAGATTAGTGTTAGTGTTAATTTTGGCATTGAATAAATGTTATGAACAGTGTTTGTATTATGATATGTCTTAATCTCTTATTCTTTCAGAAATGTAGTTAATCTAACAAATGAGATAATAATTTGTTACATTCATAGTTGTATTAATCTCATGATCTCCAACTTATTAATACACCCTGACACTTTATATTTGACCATCATAATTCTGTCTTACAAAGTAACTGATAGGACAACAAATCTGAATCAGTCTTAAAATATTTTTGAATTTATTTTCTAAACCTTTCAGAGAATGGTTTAAATTATGAGGCATTGTATGTGTGTTTATGCATTAATTAGACTTAACATAAACTTGCTATAGATCTTAGATAACAAGAATTAATATGATCCTGAGCTGAGGTCTGTTCAAGACTGTGGCCGTAAGTAATTTCTTTTATAAATCACTCGGAAATCTCTTTTTATGATAAATTAGACATTTATTACAATAATAGCTACAAATCTTTGGAAAACAAGTTCAGAATTATAGGACTGGGAATTGGATTGTTATCTCATTTTGTCAAATATTTATTGCTTGTAGTTTATTGCAATAATCTAATCACAATCACAATTAAAACCGTAACTTATTTACAATACTTGTCACAAACATAATACTATACAGAATTAGAGAATAAGAAAGTCTTTAGAAGTTAATCTAACAAATGAGATAACAATTTGTTACATTCATAGTTGTATTAATCTCATGATCTCCAACTTATTAATACACCCTGACAATTTATATTTGACCATCATAATTCTGTCTTACAAAGTAACTGATAGACAACAAATCTGAATCAGTCTTAAAATATTTTTGAATTTATTTTCTAAACCTTTCAGAGAAAGGTTTAAATTATGAGACATTGTATGTGTGTTTATGCATTAATTAGACTTAACATAAACTTGCTATAGATCTTAGATAACAAGAATTAATATGATCTTGAGCTGAGGTCTGTTCAAGACTGTGGCCGTAAGTCATTTCTTTTATAAATCACTCGGAAATCTCTTTTTATGATAAATTAGACATTTATTACAATAATAGCTACAAATCTTTGGAAAACAAGTTCAGAATTATAGGACTGGGAATTGGATTGTTATCTCATTTCTTGATAACAACTTATTCTTTTGCTTACAGTTTAGTGGTTCCGAGAGATTCTAAAATACACTCTCGAGGAGACAAAACTGTATGGCATCACCTAATTCTTTAATATTGAAATCATTAGTTATTTTACTTAATAAAGTAGTCCATAACATATAATGAACTTTTTGAAACAATTTCTAAATAAGTTCCCGTAGGAACTGATATACTCTTAATATTTCCCAATAGAGTGTCCAGAAATCAAATCATGCTTTTAATGAATGACTGCTTTTTTGTTATTAATTTAAATAACTTTTAATAAAATTACAGTTACATAGAAATTGTAGCAGTATCATTTCAATATAGTCACCAACTTTCTAGGAATAAATATGTTGAGATAAATAATAATTTATTGCTAACTCTAATAGACTAAATAGACTGAACATTGTAATAAATATTTTATATGGTATTAATATAAAAATATAGTTAAATGCAACATTAACAGAATATAGCAAACAATTTTTGTTAAAGGTTTAGAAATAAAGGTTAAAAACAAACACTCGTTTCAAATATTATTAAATCAATACAAATATACTTCATAAGGAAGATTGCATTATATAATACTACAGTATAGTATGATTATAGCATTGATTTTCTACAGAATAAAAGCTCTTTTATAGCATTTGTGAGATGTATTGAACGAATCGATAAATGGGAGGGAATGGAGTGATTCGTGGACTACGGATATGACTATTCCTTAACAGCAATGATAAGAGAAATGACACGAAATTCGTTTCCATTATCAGAATAGCACTACATTTTCGGTGATT